AGCGAGGTCCAAGCTGGCAGCTGGCTCGCGCGTGACGGAACGGGCTGCAAAGCCTCTACCCGCTGGCACCCCGAGGGAGCCGAGTTTTGAGAAGGTCGCGCGGACTGTTGCGACGACAAACTCCTCCTCCAGGAAAGCTCCTGGCTACAAGGCTGTGACAACAAACCTGGTTTGGGCACACACTGTATTTTCGGGGTTTCCCCCCTTTCCCACACACCTGTAAGAGCAGCAAGTGCTCCACAAGCAAGTTTCCCCCCCCATCTTCAAGCCCCGTACGGCGGAGCAGCGCGGAGCCAGCGCGCCCAAGCGCTCTCTGAACCTCTTGCATCAGCCCTGCCTGATCTGATGAATGCGACAAGCATGTGGTAAACAAGTTTGTATTTCCGTAAAATAATGAGGATGCGGAATCCTGGCGTTTCTCCGGAGTTCAGATGGGCGAATGACCACTGGGCAGAGCCAAGCCCGACTTAATCCACTAGTTTTTACACTATCGGTCCACTTTGAAATCGCTATCGCAGGGAATCCTGTTTCAAGGCTGCCTGGGAGGTTTCAGGGATTCCTGTGTGTGAAGAGATGCCAAAAAACCCAAAGGAAGGACTTGAAAGAGGTTTATTTCGTGACTCTTTACTGGCGGGAGGTAGCTGTTGACAAATCCCACAGACTAACAGCCATATAACTATTCACTTGGGGCTAAACACAAAGGGAACGGGCCATGCAACTTTGCTGGCAAAGTCAAAATATCATTAGCTGGGCCCTTTAGGTATTTTCTGACCTACTCTCCTGACAGGCCAAGCATCTTCCCTGAGGACATCCCGTAACCAGAGGTAGTAGAGGTTTAGAAGAACAAAGCACCGTAGCCTGAAACGGTTAACTTGTAAATAAACTCAGGTGTGGGATCAGCCTGGCCATAAGGAGATGTTCTGGTCATAATTTAGGTAAAGACGGGCAATTTGGCACACATGACAGATTATTTCCTTGAATAAGCCACAAGGACACTATCAACATCGTGCTACCGTTGTGTTTCAGGACTCCACACAAAGAAACCATCTTGCTTCACGTCCTGGTTCCCTACAGCTTCTGCTACTTGAAGCTAGAGAGAGCTTTTCGCCGCGAGAAACCACCGCAGTTAAGCCCAGCTATAAACATCTCCTACTTCAAGTAAAGGTTACGAAGGGTCGAGGCTGTACCTGGATTTCCTGGACCCCGACGGAGAGTGGGAGACTGAGGCAGACGATGATCTGGAATGAGATCTGGAGAGAGACCGAGACAAGGACCTGGATCGGGAACTGGAACCGCTGTAGCTGCTGGCGCTGCCGCTGATGCTGCCGCTGATAGTCCGCCTGCAAGACAGCAACCAACATCCTCACCTCGCCGCAAAACGGGGTTAGAAGGAAGCGTTTAGGGACACTTGGAGCGTGGTGCTGGCGTCCTGGAGCGTACACAAGACCGGCGGCTCTGCTAACGGCATCGTGGCAGATGTTCTCCTCAACCCTGCGGTTCCCAGCCCCGAGGAAGCGTCTGTTTTCTGACCAGTGGGTGTTTTACGCAAGGCTGAGTAACACTAACGAGCGCCAGGCAAAGAATGAGCTAAAGCACCTTAATCCCAAACTGATTCTGGGAGCAAATGCTTCCTACAGAGGAAAACTGCTCGCCGTGTAACGCAGTGGGACTAACTGGTATTTCAGGCCATACAAATAACCATCCACAGGGCTTGTGACTGGTGCTAACGTAAATAGAGCTGGTTTGTCATCTGCACAGCAGGGCAGCGGGGCTTCTGGGGGTATAAGCATGAAAAAAACCCCAAAAGCTGGAATAAAGAATAAGGGAAGGTGACTAAAGACATGCAAGATTATTATTAACGAGTTAAAGTGAGTGAAATGGAAGTTAGAACTGATGGAGTTTCTAGGGAAAAGAAACGGTCGTGATCCGTTTTCCCTGATGGAGTCACAATTGCTCAGCCCAGGCCTTTTCTTTAGCTACTGGGAAGAAATGTGAGATGTAATCCCAGGCAAAATGAAGAACTGACTCGGGATGCTTCGGAAAACCAGAAGGGAAAACGGACTTACAGCCATCTTCAAAACACCCTGACAAAAAGCATCATCCAACGATCCAAGAAAGCCACATACGTCTTACTGCGGGCACAGGACAGTCTCAGTCTCCTTGTGCGCTCATCGAACAACCCTTCCTAATAAATACATTTCTTGGGCACCAAACTACTGCTTCCATAGCACTAGAGACAGGCACCGTGCTGCCCGTTCCAAAACTCCCAAGGTGAGGAGGAGGCACGACGAGTTTTCAGCTGGGTTCAGCTGGCTCCGTGTCCCTCCAAGAGCAGGCAGCGCTACCCGCATTTCTCCTGCAACACCTTCAAACGCAGTACCACGGTAAGCTGTACTGCACACGGACAGGAGCTCCTTGTTTGAAAGCCATCAGAAGCCTCTCTGCTTTCGGGTGCAAAGGGAGGACAAAGAGGCCACAGGAACAGTCAAGAGGACAGACGGAACAAGTCCCTTGAAACATTCAAACTGGTCGCGCAGGATGAAGCCAGGAAGGGAAAGTAGAGCAGGGGAGCCAGCAAGTCGTGTACCGGGGACAGTGAAAGCAGCGGAGGCTGACGAACCAGCTCCTGGGACCACACCGAAGCAACGCTGCCCGCAGACCGGCACGTGCTCGGAGTAAACAGTGCCCAAAGCCATCGTCATCCATCTTGACCTTCCAACACGTCACGACTGCTCTCCGGACCAAACGCACCGCCTGCTTCCTTCCTCTGGGCCCTCCAGCACCAGCAGCTCCCAACCACGCTTTTCGGCGCTGCAGACCCCGCCTGTTGGCACGTTTCGTGTATTCCACCTACCTCATCCCCCCAGCCGGCCCTCAGAGACACGAGCCACTTGCCGTGGCGAGTCACAATTCACCCCCAAATCCCTTCCCCTCTCTTCCCGCTTCCCTCCTGCCCCAGGAGACAGATTTCTCCTTTAGTACCAAAGGGCCCTTGGAGTCGGTGCTCCCGAGAGAAACCCAAGATTTGCTCTATCTCCCAGGGGATCAAGCCTCACTCCACCCCACACCTTTCTTACCTCCTGGGTGGAGTCCTTGTCTGACGTTCCTTCCTTCTTGCCTCTCGATTATCCCCTGGTTTGGCTGGCTCCGGTGCAGCTGTTGTGATTTTAGCGAGCGGCTGAGGGACTGGAAGGGCGGCTAGTTTCTTCACAGATTTTTCACTACAAAAGTGAAAATTTTCACGCGCGTGACCATAAGGCGGTAGGTGCAGCCCAGAGACAGTTCTCAAAAGCAACGGAACGCACCCGTGTTTGGTGGGGACTAAGTACTACAGAGCTATGGTTACCGTGGCTACAGACTTTGGCTATTCCACCAACACACACTCACACTACAGATTCCCCTCAAGGGATCTGCTTCCCGTATTCTAAATCGAGTCACTTTTTCAGACCCGAGTTACTATCCAACAGCCAATTCGGGAAACATCCGAAACAGTGAAGCAGACTGCGTGGAATCGCTGTTTCTTTACCCGTTTTGATTGTGCGCGTTTTTATCCAACACACCTACCCCCCGACTTCAAGTCTGCCAGCCAGGCTGCAGAACGAAACCCGCACCGCTGAGGGAAAAGAGCGTTTGCCCCTCACACGGATTAGCAGGGAGGCAAGGAGCCCGCGCGTGCCAACGTCCCTCGGACCGGTCCCGGGCAACAGAGCGCCGTCACAGAGGACAATGTTTTGGGGCCGTTACCCAGCACCCCCTAGGCGAGCCAGGATTCGCTTTGGCTCCTCAGCGCTGCTCGCTGCTGGGCTCAGAGCACTCCAGCCTCTGCTCTAACAGCTGGTGACTGCTCCACAGCCCCAGCGCTGAGGTCATGCCTGCTATTACCTGGGGAGGAGGCGGCTGCCTGCACGCAAAAATAGAGGCTGTTAATTCCTTCTCTTGTGCTTAAAAATATCCGCCTTCACCCCCTGCAGAACACAGGATTAAGCACCTGCGATGCTGTGCAGCCAAAACAAGCCCTGGGCTGGTGGCTGGTGGCACCTGTGACCAAGCCAGCACTGCCACGTGCACTAGAAGGGTTTAAAGACATCGCTGTGGGCAGAGAGCATGTCCCTAAGGGGCTGCACCCTCTGAGTTGAGAAGGGAAAAGGAAAAAAAAAAGCAAAAAAAAAGCAGGTCAATAAGGTACAAAAGTGTGGCAAAGGGGATTGTCCAATATTCTTGAGAATTCCGGGGGATTCCCGTGGTGTAATTTATTTGCAGGTCATCTTAAAGGAGGTGACATCACTACGGTGTTGTGTCACCCTCCAACGTATCCATAATTTACTACGTATTGCGGGAGTTTGTGAAATTGGAGCTTCAAGGATTTAAAAGAGCAGGGGTGCTGGCGACCAGTTTCAGAGCTACAGTGCTGTTCTAACTCCGTCTCCAGCACTAAAAATAGACTAAAGAAATGGTTCAGCCCCATCTAAGCCTGTGCATTAACAACAGCTACAGCAGAGGAATGAATGAAACGTTCTTCTAGCTCCTGTATAAACACATCTGCAAACACAGAATGTTTAAACAGTAAATCACTCATGTGTTTAAACACTCATGTATGCCTATAGTAATACTTAAGGATATTGATACAGTTTAACTTGGATTTAATAAGTAAAAGTGTCATTATTTAATTAAATATGCAAAGCTAAGCGCTCTTCTATGCAGGGCATATTTTGCATCTTCCATTTCTTCCTTAAACCGTCAACCAGGTCAGAAGGGCCTGACTCAGGAATCAGGCCGGTGTTTGGAGCCTCTTCTGCACCGTGTCACCGACGCGGAGGCGAAGCCTTACCCTTTACCAGCCGGCGGTAACAACTCCCCTTTAGCCTTCGCAAGCGGCTTGTGTGGAGACGGTGTTGGAGAAGGAGAGGGTGAAGAGGAGAAGGATCGTGATCTGGAAAGGAAGGACACAGCCCTCGGCTCAGTCCCTGGGACCGCAGACAGCTTCCCTGGCTTTCGGTGCATTCAGCCACCACTCCCTCCCTCGGCTAGTGACTGCATCCCAGGAACTAGTCCCTGGGGGGTTGAGCTTACCCTGGGGTTTCATGTCCAGACTCTGCTCAACAAAACCAACCTCTGTGGTAAAAGTAGAAAACAACAGGAAAAAACAGGGCCCGCTGCAAGGAGGCCCTCTCTCGGGTATCCCACGCCAACACCCGAGGCTTCCTCCGTACTCTCTGTATTCTCTCCTTAGGGAGAATATGTCTACAGGAAAGTAAGTGGGATTTTGACTGGCGAGCTCAGCGTGATTTGTTTCGACCTGCTTTGTGTTCCTTTAACTCCTAGTGCAGTTTATCCTTTAAAGAGCAGCAAAAAAACCAAACAACTTGGGAGACAGACACCAAAAAATAGGTCTGACTGGGTATCTGTAACTCCTGGAAGGCAAGGAGAAAAAAAATCAAGCGGAGTATATCAAAGCCAAAGGATCAAAGGGCAAGAGCTCTTTCCTAAGGTCAGGGCTGACCAGAGAGGGAAGCCACTTAGGCAGCACACCAGAGGCTGGCATCCCAGTGATTCACCCCACTGCCAAGACTGGAAGTACCCCTGTTGCAGCCTAGTACTTCACAAGGTCAGACGCCTCGGCCTGGCTTTCTGAAGAACAGTTGGGCACTTGGGTGTTCCTCCCCCTCCCACCTTCGGAGAGAGGCACGCTCATCAAAGCCTGGCACCTATGCTTGGAATCGTCCTGCGAGGCACAGAGCCTGGGATGGGGGAAGGACAGCCTGCTCTGGATGTGCTTGTGTCGGGATCGACTCCCTCCTGAGCCTTCCCGAGGAGAAAGCACCTCTCCAAAAGCGACACCGTGCCCTGCCACCAGCTGCGTGATCCGCTCCGGGTATCTCTGCGATTCCAGCTCTGAAGAGGTGCCTATCTAGGGAGCCAGTTCTCCCACTATGCGTATTCCAGACTTGGGAAACTGTCTGCAGGGGCAAGGAAGTGGCAGAGGAATAAACACGCCTCTGTTTAATCAGCCTGGGACACCGAGTTGCTACTTTGAAGTGTCAGGACTATCACAAGACACAACTGCATGGACTGCTTTAATAAAGAAATGTGATTTGCCTCTTTAAACAGAAATTCCAGTGCAACAGAAGAGAGATGCCAGTAACTCCTGCCAATCACAAAATGCAAACGAGGGCTGCATTCATCTCAGCCAGGCTCCTACAACCGCCCAGCCACCACAGGCATGGGAAACAGCCCAGCCACAGCAGCCCGGTACTCGTGGGTGGGAGGACTGGGGCGAGGAGGGGGTGGCTGACACATCTGCTTCATCCAACCACCAAACCAACAGGCTGCCTCGCAGTCTATTGTATTTCCCTCAAGAAAGTGGCTCGAATGTTTTATTTCAAGAGTTGGCTACTTGCTTTTAAGTAGCAGCAGAAGCAGCTGTTAGCAAGTGTTTGGGGAAAAAAAAAGAGTGCACCATTACTTTCAAAGAGAGAAGGAGCCATTACCTGGACCTGCTGCCTGAGAAAGAGCTGTGTCTTGACGAGCGACTAGAGTAAGAGCTGTAAGATGATGATCTGGAACGAGACCGCGAGGAACCTGAACCAGAATAGGTGGATGAACGAGAAGAGGACCTGAAAGATAAATAATCAAATTCAGCGCCGCTCGAGAAGCCCTCAGACACTAAGGTCTCTCGAGAAGGCCTCAGACACCAAGGCCTCTCGAGAAGGCCTCAGACACCAAGGTCTTGTTTCCAGTACGCCCTTCCCAAGTTCTCCAACGCTGCTCCAAAAAAAAATGACCTGCCTTCTCCTCGGTGGCCTCTCCTCCATCCCCCCCTTTTCTTTCAAAGAGGATCCTGTTGTCGCTACCCCCTTTGCCCCCTTGAATAGGCCTCCCCCTCCTTTAGCTAATATGGCTTTCCATCCCTTTTTGAGAACTCCTTCCCCACCATTTTACGCCTTTTCACCAGACAACACCCTGATCGGCTGGGTCACACGGGTACGAGAAAACAGAAAAATCTCAGGTGCAGTGATCCCAGCAAGAAAAGCTATCTGCTTCAGGAGGGCTTGGGTTTTTAGATCCCTATCTTCAGCTCAGCATGTTCCTCATTCCTCACTGATACTTTTCCCCTCTCTTTTCAGTAGCTTCAAGTTCAAGCATTTAAAACAAATGGATCCAGCTTATGCCTTGACTCTCCTAGATTCAGGGTGCTGCCTTCTGAAAAGCATTTTTTTATCTTGCACCCACTGGTTTTCAAGCTCCTCTAAGGCTCTGTCAAGCCTCCATAACCCCAAGTTTTTTCCCCCCAGCAGCATCAGCACGCTCTTGCTAGCGTGGGCTTCACCTCATCCCCCCCACCCCCGGCGCTCCTGGAGTGAAGAGGCTCCAATTTTCACAGCTTCCAGCTCCTTCTGCTCCTACGAAGGTCAGTTTTCATCTAGGTGAGCTACCAGACTGCTTCCCAGCCTAATTTCTCTGAAGAGTGACTTTTTCCAAGGACCTGTCTTAAGTCTTCAACAGATCACACCACAGCCTCCACCGCTGCCTGCCCCCTTTAGCTTCCACCTCACTACCTACACCCCAGCACCCACAGCTGCCATCGAGCAGCCAGTCTTGAACAGCTTTCCCAGACATCTCGCCACCTCCCACTGACAGGAGAGCGCCTCGCCACATTCCCCGCCACGCCAGCAAGGCTCGGATGTGACGTGCTCTTCGCCTCCGCTCACCTTGAAGAGCCAGAAGCGGACGCTGAAGAAGCAGAGGTTTTTCGGCGCCTACGCGCGCGGCTGGGAGAGACAGAGACCCCCAGCTTCTTCTTGGGGGACTTGGATCGGCGCCAGGGGTCCTTCCATTCGTCTGCTCTCTTCGACTGAGCGGTGGTAATTGTGGTTGCCTCCTTCTCCTTCTTTGGTGGCTCAGGCTGGCGGCTGGAAAACAGAGGAGTTAAGTCCCTGGGACTTTTTTTTATAGAGGAAGGCTAATAGAAACAGAGGGCCAGGAAAAGATCTGAGAAGTTCACCCTTCAATACCAGTACTAGCTCTTAAATCTCCACTGCAGCATCGTTTTGGGGGGATGAAGGGTTAGAACAGCTATCACTCTGTAAATCAGTGACTGAGAGCCCCTCAACACAGCAGGACCTGCAAGTTTTGGGACTGCTTTGTCGCGCTGCCCAAGCAGCGACCTGCCAGCTGATTTCGGCTTTGGCCTCCAAGGAGCGGACACCAACACACGTAAGAGGGAACGGAACGGGAAACCTGGTTCTTCCCACGCCTGTGCTTGAGCTGGAGCAACCCAAACCTGGTAGGCAGCCCCTAGGGCAACCAAAATACTGAACACAGCCAGGCTAAGGGCTGACTTGGAGCGTGCACCTGAAACGCCGTCTCGATACAGCAAACCGCTGGGAACAACCAGCAGGCACTCGGAGATTCAGCCTGAATTGCTCTCTCCTACGGTTCCCTTATCAGGGCATCACGTGGGACTGTGTCACAAGCCTTACCACCGCCAAGACACATTGATCTGTCTCTCACCCTCACAAAGGGGACGGTTACCTCATCAGCTGAGCATAAAGCAGAACGTAAGGGCTGCTTTATCACCTTATTATTCCCTAGGTGCTTATAAACACCACCGAGCACGTGCTCTGCTGCTGTTGATAATCGTGGAGATGTGACGAGCCAGGCTACGTACGCTCCATCTCCTCCCCTCCCTTTTCAGGGCTCTAGTTGAGTTTTCCCCTTTTTCTCTGGTTCTCCAGGCTTCCCTGCTCCTCCACAACCTTGTGAAAACAATTCAGTGATAACTTTTCAGCATCCAGGGAGTTCTTTTAAGTACTCCAGGCTGAGCTTCTTCCGCCCTAGACTTTATTATCTCTCTTATCTACGGATGATTTCACTTGGGATTTTTCTTCACCTGTACTCTAACCTGCAGAGGACTGTTCAATTACCTGCTCATAACCTTCTCCCCTGGGTTTAGGCAAAGTTTGTGCTTGCTTAAAGGTTTCCAAAGTCCATCGCACTCATCACATTACCAGGACAATGATGCGTTTATTCCTTTTCTCGAAATAATGATCCCTCTTGCGCTGAGAATTTGGGGGAGGAAAGGCACCTTCCATCGCTGGGTTCACCCAGTACCACCCAATTAGTCACACGACCGAAGCAACCACTCCCCACGCAACTTCCTCGACCTTTTTGAGATAAAAAAAGCAACCTCCAAGTTTTCCAATAATTCTACGGCCTGCGCTTCTCGCCGCAACACTTTTTTCAACAGACAACAGGATGATTAAAGCTCTTCATTAGCAGCCTGTCCTGCCCTTTGAAGGGTTCACTAGTCACAAAGAAGTCTCATCTCCTATTAAACCAGCCTCACCACAGTTAAAACTCCTCCAGCCTCTCACCCCTTTGACTCCCAAACTTCTATACGCTGAGTTTAAAGCCCAGGGCACCGTCCTACTCTTCCCCTATCTTTGCCAATACAACTAGAGCAATTTTAACATCTAGCTCAGTATATACAGAACCTTATGGGAGGAGAAATTCTTCTTTCACCTTCACCTCTCCCCCAAATCTCATTCTAGCCTCAGAGGAGGACGCTTATGTATTAGCCCAGAAAATTGCTGACTGCCTAGCAAGAGTCCCAAGCGGGGTTACGGCTCAGCATTATTCACCAGCATCTTCATTTAGCAGCATCACCCTTTCCAGCACTGCTCCAACACACGCTATTTAACACAGCACGTGTTATTTGCAGCGAGTTGGTCTAATTTTCCGTATGATAACCCCAACGACATCTGAGTATCTAATCACGGAGGAAGACCACGGCTCTGAACAAGGGGCTGAGATAGACTGGACCTACTATTTATACTCTGATAACACTAAACAGTTGTAGCTGGGGTCGAGCTCTCATTCCAGCAGATGTAGCACAAACTCATTTCGAAGCCATCTTCACCTCTGGAGCACCTTCCAAACAACAACTAAGGGCAAAGCAGGAAGAAAAAGAAGGCTGGGAACAGCCTACACACCTCGCACCAAGCAGCAGGTTAACCATCAGCAGGAAAAAAAATCTGATGCCCCTTCCTGAGGGACGGCACTGTCGGCCTGCTTTGGGAGATGCAGGGGGAATATTCTGCTGGCACAGGCGGGCAGAGAGGCAGTTCCACCTCAAGACCCGCACAGACTGCTCAGAAGCTTTTCACTGCAGCAGCCACGGTGACCAATGTGAAAGCCAAACAACTAAGGAACGCTCTTGCCCCTCTCTCCAGGCTCAACTCTCTCCTGCAATCGTTTTCAGCGAGAGAAGTCGCCTACAGAATTTAGTCTTTGCCTCTCTCAGGAAAAAAAAAAACCCAACTTGCCCAGCACATCCTGAGAGCTGGACCTCAGCTCCCAACACCACGTGGGCACCACTTACGCTGAACTCCCCAACCTGGGCGCCAGCCTGGAGCAAAGATGACTACGAAAGCAAATCTCATCACTCGCACCTATTACCTGGTTAGATGCAATTCTCTCCCGATGAAGTCACTTTCTGGAGGAAAGGGTTTTTTTTTTTCCCCAGGAAAACCACAACAGAAAGCCTCATTTCTGGATATGCCTTGGCTTTTTGACTCAGCAGTAAATACGTTACCGTACTACAGCCAAGAAAGAAAAACGATGCTCGTGTCAGGACATTTTCAAAGCCTTTCCTCAAGAGCTACCTGCGTGCCCAACAGGTAGCATCACCAAATAAACTTGTTCAACTTCACACGAGGGACTGGTATCTGATGCCGCTTGGCTCGCCTCCTCCAGCGGAATTCAGGAGTCAGAACTGAAAGTAACGCGGAGCAGCTGCCAAGATCCTCACCGTCTGCCTCCGACTACCATCTCCATTCCAGCCCGGAGGAGTTTCACCAGGCTCTCCGAGGCTCGCAGCCCATGGAACAGGCACCGATCGATACCGATGAAAGCCGAGGCAGACGCGAGGCTCGCGGCGGAAAGCCTGCGGAGAAAAGGCAGCAGGCAGGCGGCCTGTGGCTCCCTGCCCAGTGCGATGCCAAAGACGATAGCTGCTGCTGGTGCTGCGCTGCTGGGGGGGCTGAGCCATGTATTTCATCCCGGGAAGGTGGAGGCTTCCTCCTCGCTTCCACTCTTACGACTGGGTTGTTTTTCCCTTCCCATCTTGTGCTGGATCTGGTGCTTGTTGGAGCGCTCCCTGTGCCAGTGCAGCTCCTTAATTCAACACAGAGAGGGGGGGAAAAACCCCCAAGAGGTCAGCGTTTTGAACAACTGCGGGAGCTGACCCACGGCAAAGAGAGGAGGGAAGGAGAGAAGCAGCCTGGCTGCTTCAGGGTGGTTGAGCCATGAGGTCGGCCCACGGTATGTAAGTTCACCCTCAGCCCAGCAGGAGTTACCCAGGCTGGTGCAGTCCACGCTGCAGGCAAATCTAATCCACTTCAGCACAGAGAGGGGTTGGCTGGCAAAAAAGTCACCCACCGCCAAAGCACCTGCGTGAATCCCGACAAGTTCCAATTTTTAGGAAACTTTTCAAACATTTCAGATTTAACTCCCCAATTAGGCAAGCCTATGCCACAAGGTTCAAAAAAAAAAAAAAAGAAATTAGAGGCAGTAAGAGACTGACAAGACAGACTGATCAAAAGCAGCTTAAATTTCCTTCCAGAGCCCCGAGGAGCAGCATCCTGCGTCACCAGGGCACGAGCAAGGTCTGCAGAGCTTAGCTACTTCCGAAGCCCATTTTAACCTTAAAGTAACTAAATGCTTTATTTTCCAGAACGAACACATTAATGCGTATTTGGCTGGAATTTAATTACAGCAATCAAGCGGAGAACTGAAGCCGAACGTGGCTTTGGCAACGAGAGGAGGAACCAAGGCAGCTCCAGCTGGCAACGCGAACCACAGCGTAGGTCAGCCAGCTCCGGCTCCCAAACCAACCCTGTCACCGAATTTGACAAGAATTTGGAGGTGGGTGGGGGGGGGGAAGCAGAGCTGCACAGCTCGGAGTTTTCCTCCTTGTGTATTATGCAAATGACACCGAAGCATTTCTAATCTTAGAGGGGAAAATAAGCTGGCTGGGAAAGTGCTTCCTTCCTTCCCCTCCCTGCGGGACACGGCTCCTATGGGTAACGCAAACCTTATCACCCCTGGTCACCGGTGACGTCAGCCTGGCTCCAGGGCTACTGTTTTGGCCGGCAGTTCCAGCTCGATTTTCTGAAAGAGCAAAGTCCGCTGATGATTTAAAAGCCGTTTTGGTGGGGTTTTTTTCTTCTGCAGGAAAGCGAGGATTGCGTCAGCAGCGCCGGCACGAGTTTTCCTTCAGTGTCAGTGGAATTTTCCAGAGGAAGCGGACTCGAGGAACGACTGGAGCCACGGAGCAAGGAAGTTGCGAAGGGACCTGCCGTTGCTGCAAAATAAACTCCAGCAGCGCGCGGGCACGCTGGAAGATTTCTCCCGGCTCAGCGCAATCAAGTCAACTGGTGTGGCTGGAAGAGGGACAACAGCTCCCGAAAGCCACCTACGTGCGGCTGCAACGGGAAATGCTGAACCTTGGAGCCCGTGCTACCTGATCCTGGGGAAATAGTAGCAAAGGATATGCTTTTCTCAAGACATTTTGATCTAAAGCAGAGTTATCAGTTGCTTAAAAAAAAAAAAAAAAAAAAAGAGAAGATTTCTTCAAAGCCTGATGGGGAGAGGCTTTAAAATTAAATAGTGGAGATACAATCTGAACCTTCCGTATGAAATCATCACAGCAGGTAGATAAACGTATCTGAGATGTGATCTACCCTACGGGCTGAGCATTTGACGCCTTGAGAGCCTCCTCTAAATGAGAGGTACCCGTGTGCAGCGATTCTGCCCCAGTCTTTGCAATCTTTTAATAAAATCCAGTGTGGGAAATCTCTCCAGTAATCCCATCTCTGAAATGCCAAAGAAAAAAACCACATTCCTTGAG